ATATGATATTTACATGTTATGATTGAAATTTACCCTTGCAGCTGTAAAATTGATCATTTTTCCTAGTGTAACTTCTTAATTGTCGCCCGGTTAGCTCAGCTGGGAGAGATCGTGGGTTCAAACCCCGGCTGGGCCAACAACCAGGGTCTTTAAAAAACTGAAAACATCATGTAGGCTGTGATTTAAGATCTTCTTTCGGTTCAGGTGATCGCTGTATTTGGCGTTGACATGAAGCCGTTGGCCTTGCCTCCATCATCAGTCAAATTCAAAGCGGACGTAAAAGAACCCACGATACTGTTTCGTTTTGGGTAAGGGAGGTTTCTCAGTTGGTGTGGTCTACCTTAATTTAACATATCATTCATATCATGGGCTGAGTGGATACAGTAAGCTCATAAGTGTACTGATAGTAGCTGCCAGTGGCGCTCTTTGATGCTGACGTCCCAGCTCATTGTTAACATGTTAAAATACAGTCGAACCTCCCTTAAGCGGCCACCCTCGGGGTATCGGCAAGTGGCCGCTTAATGGAGGTTGGCCGCTCAATAGAGATTCGTCATAAATTAGCCTAACATGACCATAATCTTTAGCAGAAACTTCACTTTATTTTGAAACAAACACGCGACAGGAGCAGCATCGCTGGTCTGCAATCGGTTGTCACCTTCTATCTTGGACTGTATTTTCCTTCATCATATTCTTGAAATAAAGCCAAACTAAGTGTATTAAGCGCTTGATGGCCGCTTAATAGGGCGTCAACAATGCAAGAAATCTCCTTGGGACGGCCAAAATTTGGCCGCGGCCGCTTAATATAGGTGACCCCTTAACAGAGGTCTAAGTTCCCATTTTTTCTACACATATGTCGGGACTTTCACTACTTGCCGCTTAATGGAGGTTCAACTGTGCAACGTTAAGTGAACACGTCTGTTGTCAAGCTCTCATTCACGACTCTTCATTCATTGATTAGTAATGGTTATAAGCAGAGAAACAATTGCACTTGTCTTTCGTCCTATATTTTTGTTCACAGATAGTAGATGGGCTTAGGTCTCCCTCTGCAGTAGCCGTGGATGCCATTACTACTGGTTTACAGGTACGAAACCATTTAGATGTTAGAACCACATCGCGTTGCTTAATAGACCTTTTTACCGATACGGCGGCCATATTGAATTTACTAGATTTAAGGAGTCGATATCGTTAGGGCGAACACACGGGAGAGGGGAGATTCAAGTTGATAATTTAGTCAACTTAGGAAAGGAGAAAACAGAAACTGTTCAGAATAATCCGATTCTTATATATGAATGAGCCTGACCCGAAACTATTTATTTGTTTATTTATTATTATTATTATTATTATTATTATTATTGATTATTATTTTTTTGGGAGGGGGGGGGGTGGGGGGGATAGATATAACGAACAGTGATCTACAGGTAAGAGATAACTTGGTTCCGTAGTAAATCTTCAATGTTTCTTATAGCGTATAGTAAAGCGCCTTGTTTGACTGCGGTATATTAAGCGCTTTTGATAATTTGCGGCCGAGCCATTCTGTAGTGCGTTTTTATTGCTTTGAGTTTGCCCAGGCTGACGCTGTTCTTAATTCTTCATTTCGTCCTTTAACCCTTTAAACCCTAACATCAAAATTAAAATTCTCATTTGTTTTCCCTATACGTTTTCAATAGAAGTAGTGGGGAGAATTTGTTGAAGTATCACTTAGATTCATCTAGTGTGATCATGTCCTTAATTCTCATGACCACTGTTGTTTTATAAAGCAGTGATTTTACGAGGAGAAATTTGATGTTCATCACTCTTAGGGCTTAAAGGGTTAGGGAAGGGCTGTTTACATGAAGGGAGGAAAGTCCTAGATGGCGGAAGATCCTAGCGCCATATGTTTTTTTCTGTATTACTTGTAAACTGCTTTCGCTAGGAAGATGCTAGTACTAGGGACAAACCAGACAAAAATAGCAGCGGGTCGTTCAGAGGGTAATCACGGCCGGTAAAGGCCGAACATTTCGTTTGGTGTCACCACGAGTTGATAATTGTGATAAATATTCTGCTGAAAGGTAGTTTTTAACGTCAGTAAAGAGAGCAGAAGGGTCCAAATTGTATTTTTGTTTTTGTCGGCCGTCATCTTTAATTCCCGCTGCTTCTCTCCTTGGTAACCGCACGGACCGAAATTTCTCCATGTAAACCCGACGAAAAGTTGTTCCGCCCTCTAGGATCTTCGTGGTGCTAGGATCCTCCTTCCTTCATGTAAACATCCCCTAAGACTGGCGTAATAACGGAAGTGCGATGCTTTCGAATTAAATAATAGTCTGGAAACGAAAACGACGTGTTAGCTGGTCGCGCACGGAAGGCATATCTTATACAGTGTTATTTACAATCACGACATTCGTTTTACTTGCAATAAAACTCCGTCCATTGCTTGCCATATCAAATGTTCATTCGCAAATATCTTGACAGTTGTTTGTTCATTTCTTGAATACATAGTTCCTCTTATTTTCCAGGGCGCCATCGTAAGAACATTGACCACTCTGAACTAAGAGATTATTCATTTTTGTTTTCAAAACGTCTCAGTGATTTCACGATTTCACGTTCGATACAACTCGATCTGTTGCTTGCCATATCAAATATTCATTTAAGAACAGCTGGACAGCTGCTTTGTTCATTTTAAGAATATTTTTGTTTTCCTCTGTAGCGACCACTTAAGGACTTTCCATTGATGACTCCGAAAGAAGAGATTTTTCCGGCGCCCACGACCTCCCACAGGAAAAGCGTATTTTCAAAATATTTATACTTCCGAAATATCTTCTCGATGTCTCGGAGAATTCAATGTAAACATAAGCTATTGTTTCAAATTCCAGCTGCTCTAGATTTTCATTCTTCATTCTTTGATGGTACAAAAATTCATGGAGAAACTAGACAACTAATTAAATTATCCCTGAAAGTACAGTATGTAACAAAATGTTATTTCCATTGCTAGACTCCGATCGGAAGCGACCGAGATCGCGTGTTTCAATGACAGTTTTATTAAGACAATTGTTTCCGCTACCCGCGAGTTTGCCAAAGCCGAGGTGACAGTTTCTACGTAGATATTATTTTGGAAGTGCGATCTTTAAGATAGCAATTATAATGCTGCTATAAAACTACTACTAATAATAATTGTAACAAAACGAGATTTAATAGCCGGCAAAGATGACTTGTTCTAGAATCAGGTTAAGAATTTGTTTGGAAAGTTAGTTTTTCGTGAGAGTTGTATGCTATATTGACAGTAACACATTTAAATTTGCGTGATGGTTATTTGTTTAGATGTACAAGTCACATTTCTATTTCTCACCATGGAATTATACCTTAAACATGACCTGTATCTTACAGTCAAATCTTCCTGTTTTGGTTTCGCCTTTCTTTTCCGTATTTCATTTAACTTAAGTTCAAGTTTATATTTATTATATGGTTTTTTTAATCGAATTATCGCGCCTTTCTGCTGTTCTTTATTGTACGAGATTTCCTAGTTTTATGCTGCTAACTAACTGGTGTTAGTTTATCCCAGATTGAATGTCTTCATGCGTTTTCATGATTGTGGTAGACTTAGCTTTAGTAGACGAATCCCTTGTTGCCAAAGAGCACTTCCATTTTTTCTCAACCTCGAAAATACGACGCCTCTCAGCAGTGTTCTATATTTTAACTTCTAGAC